ATTCTCTTGCCTCAGCCTCCCAAGTAGCTGGGACTATAGGTACCCACCACAATACCTGGCTATTTTTTTGTTGCAGTTGTCATTGTTGTTTTAGCAGGCCCAGGCTGGGTTTGAACCTGCCAGCCTCTGTGTGTGTGCCAGCACCCTACCCACTTAGCTACGGCTGCTGTCTTTTTTTTTCTTTTGGAGATAGAGTCTCACTATGTCGCCCTCAGTAGAGTGCCCTGTTGTTTCAGCTCACAGCAGCCTCCAACTCTTGGGCTTAAGCGATTCTCTTGCCTCAGCCTCCCAAGTAGCTGGGACTACAGGCACCTACCACAATGCCTGGCTATCTTTCTGTTGTAGCTGTCATTGTTGTTTGGCAGGCCCGGGCTGGGTTCAAACCTGCCACCCCTGGTGTTTGTGGCTGCACTGAGCTACAGGCACTGAACCAAATTTTGCATTTTTAATTTCTTAACAGCTGCTTAATATTAAAATGGGATGGATGTGCCACATCACATTTAACTTAGTTTCCTGCTGATACTTGTCTTCAGTATTTTACTACAACAAATAATGTGGCAATAAATAGTGTCTGTAGCATATGTGGAACGACTAGGTCAAAGGTTTGGTAGATATTGTGAAATTACCTTCTATACAGGCTTGGATTAATTCACACTCCACCAGAAATGTGTGATACTCATTTTGTGAACATAGTGTTATATCAAACTGATGAGGCAATCTGATGGGTAAGAAGTTATATCTCAATATTGTTTAAATTTGCTTTTCCCAGCTTGACACCCATAGCTCAGTGGTTAGGGCTCCAGTCACATGCACCGGGGCTGGTGAGTTTGAACCCAACCCAGACCTGCTAAACAATAATGACAACAACAATAAAAAAAAAAATAGCCAGGCATTGTGGCAGAAGCCTGTAGTTCCAGCTACTTGGGAGACTGAGGCAAAAGAATAGCTTAAGCCCAAGAGTTTAAGGTTGCTGTGAGCTGTGATGCCACGGCACTCTACCGAGGGTGACATAAGAAGACTCTGTCCCCAAAAAATAAAAAAACAAATAAATTTGCTTTTCCCTAATTGTGAGGTGGAGCATTCTTTAACCGTTTTTTAAGTACTTTATGTCTTAGGTCCACCTTATACTCTAATGCCATCTTATAGTCATGAGGAAACTCTTAAGTTATTATGTTTGTTTCATTTAAATAATTTTAGATTGCTTTAATTGCTTAATGAAGGTATTGTTTGCAAACATTGGGAACTAGTTAACATTTGTGATCCCTTTGTAGTTTCAGATGTTGAGCCTGGAAATGAGTACAGAAATTTTAATCTAAAGCAGGAAGTTTCTGAAGAATTGGAACCATATGGGAATACATCTAACAGATTTGAAAATGACATACCCCAGTCTGCTAAGTGTAGAGAAACTCATGAACCTGAGGAAAGAATAGAAGAATCTTCTGGATACTCCAGGGAAGATAAAGCACCTACATGTGCTGTAAATGGAGCATGTCTGACTGAGAACACAGACCATGCTGAACAGCAGAGAATCTGTCCAGGAGAAAAGTCTTCTGAATGTGATGACTGTGGAAGAGTGTTTAGTCAACACTCACGCCTCATAGAACATCAGAGGATCCATACAGGAGATAGGCCTTACAAATGTGAAGAATGTGGAAAAGCTTTCCGTGGAAGAACTGTGCTTATTCGACACAAAATAATACACACTGGGGAGAAACCATATAAATGTAATGAATGTGGCAAAGCTTTTGGCCGCTGGTCAGCTCTTAATCAACATCAGAGACTTCATACCGGAGAAAAACACTACCACTGTAATGAATGTGGCAAAGCCTTTAGTCAGAAAGCAGGCCTCTTTCACCATCTCAAGATCCACACGAGAGACAAACCTTACCAGTGTACACAGTGTAATAAAAGTTTTAGTCGACGTTCTATACTTACTCAACATCAGGGAGTTCATACTGGCGCCAAACCCTATGAGTGCAGTGAGTGTGGAAAAGCCTTTGTTTATAACTCATCACTTGTTTCCCATCAGGAAATCCACCACAAAGAAAAGTGCTATCAGTGTAAGGAATGTGGGAAATCCTTCAGTCAGAGTGGCCTTATTCAGCATCAGAGAATTCATACTGGAGAAAAACCCTACAGATGTGATGTGTGTGAAAAAGCCTTTATTCAAAGGACAAGTCTAACAGAACATCAGCGAATTCACACTGGAGAGAGGCCCTATAAATGTGATAAGTGTGGGAAGGCTTTTACTCAAAGATCAGTTCTCACAGAGCATCAGAGAATCCACACTGGAGAGAGGCCCTACAAGTGTGATGAGTGTGGAAATGCTTTCCGAGGAATCACCAGCCTCATTCAGCATCAGAGAATCCACACTGGGGAGAAACCTTACCAATGTGATGAGTGTGGAAAAGCCTTCAGACAGAGGTCAGATCTTAGTAAACACCAGAGAATCCATAAGAGAAGTGGTCCCTATATATGTAAAGAATGTGGGGAATCATTCAGGCAGAATTCAGCTCTTATTCAACATCAGTTTATCCACAAAGGAGAAAAATCTGTTTCTGTATGATGACTACAGGGAAGCTATATCACAGACTGCAGGCTGGTGAGAAATATTAGCTTTATAGTGAACTTCAGTCACTATTGCTGTAAGGAAACCTCACATATTTAGTAAGATCCCACTGTGTGCTGCTCATTGTATTTGGTGTTGTAGAGAACAAGTAGATAACACCAACTTTTTTTTTTTTTTTTTTTTT